TATGCGCTTGAGCTTGATCATAGCTGCTGCTATTGCTGTTATTGTTTTCATAGTTGTTGCTATATATGTGTGCGTCTATGCAGAAATATGATTGTTAGTAAATATCAAGTATATTATATATACTAATTAGCAAAATATTTTTAGTAAAATTTGTGTCTAATTTCTAAGTCCAAGTCTAAAATTATACTAACTGTATTAAGAGATATGAACAGCAAAAGAAAGGTAATACCCAAAGAACAAATTGAATTCCAACAGAACCATCCCACAAGAAATTCTGCAGAGGAAACAGCAGTACACATTCTGTGTCACTGTGATAGTCTCGCCAGACTCAGTGTTCGGTATTTATCCACTGTCTATCCACTTATAACGGAATTAGCAAACATCTCTGCCAAGGGCATAGTAGCTACTCGCCTGTGGAACTACATGGGAGTGTCACAATAATCCTCAAAGGATTAGTTCCCAAGCCATCTTAAAATTTAATCTAATCTATTTTTCAAATAATTTAAGAAGTCTTGATCGAAGTGAAATCTACAGGAATAGTATTGCTTAATATCGCCAAGATTACAACTGTTGTTAGCTGTTGTGTAGTTCTAGGCCAACTGTACTTTAAATTGATATTACTTGATATTTACAAAGTAATGAACAACTTTTAACATACAGAATTAATTGTAAATCTACTGAACTTACAGAACTCTTTTTTTTTTTTTTTATTGTTTCTGTTAGATATGCAGAATGTCCCAGCTTTCAATTGTAAATTGGATATATCTAATTTGATCACGAAATTTAATCATTTGTGCCAATTGAGTAAATTATTTACAAACGCATTTACTGATAGATGAGTGTGTGAATGCTAACTAATTCCAGGCAATTTTTAAACAATCACCAGCAATCACCGTGAAGGAACAAAAAAGATACACGACATGTCGTCAATTATGACTTCATGACCATTGATAGGCAAACACGTTATAGAAAATAGATGTAGCATATGTAATTGCTACAAACAATGTCTTTCTTAAAGTAAATTATCTGTGAAAACTATCAGAGATAATGATCAAAAGAAGAGAAAATTTAGTGTGATCTATAAACACGTTTAACACAGAATGGACATCTAGAAGTTTAGAATAAAAAAAATGTTTCTGGTTAGGGTTAATAAGGTGTATTTAAAGTAGCCTATTACAAAGAGAAAAATATGAATTACAAATTGAGTAAAAGAGGACCCAAGATTTAGCTAGAGGTTTTGGTATAGGTATTTACTTAGCGAGATTCATATTGTAGAATACTACAGTTTGTGAAAGTATTAATATAAATAAACTATGAAGAATTTCTTTTGCTTCCAAAAAATGGTGTAGTATATATAATTAAAAAATTGATATATATATTTAAAAATGCCTATTTTTACCACTTACATCAATAGCATTTCTATTTTAAAATTTTGAAGAAGAGAGAAGTACCAAAATTTATTGAGACCGTTTGTTGTACTGTTTTTAATATAGTTTTAAGAATGAGTTTGTCCTTACTATTGCTTTATATACGATTTAGTATGTATATAGTAGTTTATATGTTATCTGGTTGAATATACAAAATTTGTTGTAGTTAAAAATGTATTGTAATTAATAGTTTAATTAATAATTATGCTTGCGAAGTTTTGCTCCTACTCAAGATTTTTATTTTATTTTTGTTTTGTTATATGTACAAGTTTGTATTAAGAATTTCATAGAATCACACTAGACGAAAAGAAAAAAAAAATAGCTGAAGTTATAAATTATAGAACAAAAAATATTTGAAATTTGTTTAGATATTCGTATAAAGCTAGAATTGTGAATTTGCTGAGTCTCAGTACAGTTGCATGTAAAAATATTACTTCAAAGTGTATCTCTAACTGCCGCTGCTACACAAACACAAACCCATAATTATACTGCGCAAATGAGATATACTATCCTTCCGACTCTGGTTCTAAACATCTCGTTTAATGTGAGGTCGCGAGATCGGCCATACCTTATTAAGGTACGATTGCAGCATAGACGGTCGGTAGCACCTCGAATACGGTTCGGTTTGCATATATGCATAATTTTGTAGCAATCGACCTACAAACTTTATATTTTTATAATATTTTCTGTTAAAACTATTAAATACGTGTATTTTACTTATAAACAATATTATTTTAATTTACTTAGCTTTTTAAATTTGTATTTGTAATTGTATTTGTGTTTTATAAGTTATGAGTTTAGGCAGTTTCATTTAGTTTTCTAACATCTTCTTGGAATCATAACTTATACTCTGTTTTCATATATATAATAGATACATATATATATATTTATGTAATTATTTATTTTTTGTTTGTTTTGTTTGTTTTATATTGTATTAAATATTAGTTTTTAATGAAATCAACTTATTTCTTTTTGTTTTGTTTTTTTTTTTGGTTTTAAATAATGGTGCTGTGAATTATATTAAATTTGCTAAATGTGTTGAAATTGGTGCAGTTGATTCCCTTACAAATGTGTTTCTCGTTAAAATTATTTCATTTATATGATAAAAAAAAAACATTTAAAAATAAAATAATTTTTTAACAAAAATTTTCTTACTGATCTTTGTGTTTTAATATAAAATTTATTTTATTATAAATAATCTGAATTTTTTTTATCCCGATGCCTTAAATAATTTTCTTAAATTAATTGCGTAAATCTGTGGTGTTGGTGCATACGAATTGAATGAGAATGTAACTTATCATGAAAGTGCATTTATTATATATTACCTAATATTAGAAATTAAATTTATATCGCCTTAAGTTTTTATTTATTATATTTAATAAAAGTTAATTGCATTTAAAAGTACCAAAAGGTTTGAGTTATGCTAACTTTTGAGTTAAATCATTTCTAACTCATAAATTTGGCAAATAGTTTTGGAAGCGCTAAAATTTGAGTGTTGCTTGTTTAAGTTTTTTTTAAATATTTTTTTATTATTTTATATATAATAATTATTATGCTAAAAATAACAAATAAATTGTGAAAATTTTCAGAATAATATATAAAATTATTTTTAAAAGACATTTGTGCTTAAATGCTGTTTTTCATTGAGCGTAGTAGAGAGTTGCTTTGTAGATTTTTGTAGACTAGAAGTGCATTAAAGCCTCAGGATGAAATCCTATAAGGGATTATTATTCCTATTATATTTATTAAAAGCTTTGATGTGAAAACGCCCAGCAGCCGGTACTACGGCCAGAAGAGTTCTATTGTATCAATTTCATTAAAGCCCTTTAAGGCTTTGTGAACAAAGTCCAGAACTAAATCTGGAGAATAGCTCTTAATCTGTTCGGGTGACAGAAAGTCCATATGAAACAAGTTTCTTCTGTGCGTTATTAAAGCTGGACAGTCACAAAGAATATGCATAGTAGTGTTCTCAACTTCGAGGCATTATCTGCATTCCGAATTAGCAGTTAATCGTATTTTATGAAAGTGATATTTCAGGCCATAATGACCAAATAAATAAGTAAGTAAGGATTAATAAGGATTTATAGAAAAATTAAGTAAGCAATTGGGTCTTAATTTAAACTATGCTACAAAGCCTTTCCCTGATTATACTACAGAGACCTATTAAGAAAAATAACCAATATATTTTTTAAAACGCTGCGTGAATTTGTGATTTTGTATTTAATAGCCTTTAAAAAAAAGTTATTTTATATCTCAATTAGCTTTGTTATAATAGTTTTTTAATTTAAAAAAATAAGCTTTTTTATAAATGAACTTATGCTAGCTATGGAAAGTACACTCTTCAACATTTGCAATTTGTGAATTTGAGAATTTGTTAATTCTTAAAGGGTCTTTCTTAAAGTTAATAAAAAGTTCAATTTAATAGTAAAATAATATAAAATTCACATGAGGATATTGCATTCAGTTTGCTCATAAAAACTTTTCTATTGTTGAAATAGAGGTTTTCATAATGAAGTCGGACTCTACCTCAATTAGCAGGTAGTGTTCTATAAACAAAAATTTTCCTACATTCACATTGTAACTATTTTATTGCTATCGTTCCCATTAATTAACTATTCTTAATATCCCGTAAACCCATACTGTTTATTAAATTATAATATATAATCAGTTGAATAAGATCACAATGCCCAACCTGCTTTTCTGTTTTGGAGAACTAACCGTAAGTTTTCCCGCCGCTTAAATTTTATATAAATTAATTATCTTGCGCATGCATGTTGGTGTGATTTTAATAAGATTTAAGGAAGACTTTATTTAATTAATATTTTATATATTGCTAAGTGGCTTTTTAGGTCTCCCTAGTAATCTACTGAACACATACATTGAAAGAAAGTGTTAAAATAATATATACAATAAATTAATGGAAGCGTGTCATAAATTGCTTTTTCATATTCGATTTTAATGGTTGTAATATCACTTCAAGTTTGGACTGAAATTATTTAAAGAACTAAAAACTAAAAGATAAAATATAAAAATTTATATATAAAACTAGCACACTTAAGTAGAGTTTCAAATTATCTATATATTTTTAATATATAATCTAACTAAATATTAAAATATACATACATGCATAGAAAAAATTTTAGTTCTTTATGAAAAAAAGCATCGGGACTTATTATTTATTATCTTATATTTCATTGAATTCTTTATATATTATTATTTTTCTTTTTAAAACTTTCACTTTTGAGCTTTTTTTTTTATTTTTCGTTTTAATATTTTTTAATTTATTTTTAATATTGTATTTATTATATATAACGTAAACGTTGTAATTTTTCTTAAGTTGATTTATTGTTTGGTATAGTATATTTATATATTTAACTTTTATTACATTATATTTTGATTTTCACCATTAAAAATGGTATGTATTTCATTAAAAACTATTTTAATTAATATATTGGTTTTGATTTTTTTTAATCGCTTCGCTCGTGTAAATCATATTTTAACCCACAATTTATATATATATATTTTTAAAATTAATTCTTCACTAATATTAATATGTGTTATGGTGTATATAATATTACTATAAATTTATATAATAAATATTTGCTCTAATTAAAATTAATATTAATTTAAGCGCCTCAGTTGTCATTTGCAGTTTCAGATGATGCTTGAATATCAATATCGTAACATCCTCAATACTACGTTTTGCTTTTGTTTCTGCTTCTTCTTCAGACGTTGTTGTTTTTGTGGTTGTTGCGTTTTTAGTAGGCGCCTATTTTACTCCTCTCCTAGCAGCACTAAATCATCAGCAACAACGTCACTCACATGCAAATATATGATCCAGTACATAAGATTAAAGCACACAAAGCACACCGGAAATACAATGCGAGAATATTTGTCTATATCCGATGGCGTTATACCGAGTAATTTGTTGATATCCTGTTATTTTCATTATTTTTTTTTTTAAATTATACAAAAAAAATATAAATCAAAAATTTATACAAGGATGAGAAGAGCAGAGAGAAAAAAGAACATTATAAGTAAATACAAATTTCCAGAGTTTGGTAATGTTTGAGCTGGAAATTACTTTTTTTACCTTGCCCGGGTGTAATAAATGGGATGGTACTGCGGCTTCGGCGTCTCCACCTTCGGGCGGTGCTCCTCCACCTCCACCGCCGCCACTACCGCCGCCACCACCGGCTGGTCCAGGGCCTGGCGGTCCAACTGGCGGTCCGCCTCTTCCACCATTTACCGTATTCTCCAGTGTTCCACCCTTTGAATGAGCCTTTGGATCGTGCACCTTAAATCTCACCTCCTGGAACAAGGGTCCCACTATCGAGCAACCGCGAGTACCAACATTTTGTTGGATATTTGAATAGCCAATTGGGCGGTTACTCACTGTTTGTTTCGGCGCATGAGGATGACCATGGCTATGACCATGACCATGCCCATGTCCATGATCCCCCACATTTGGATTTGGATTTGGCGGTGGTTGGACACCATCAATTTGCTGCTTTTTTTGTTCAGCTATCTTTTGGATCGCCATAAATCTTTGTTTTCGCATTTGAATTCGTTTTGCCATATAACCGACAGTGGCGTATTCTATAGATTATCATTTTCATAATCAATCAATCAATGAATTAAGTAATTGATCAATCATTCATATCATCAATCAATCATTTAAGCATTTTTGTTGATTTTATTTTATAGCCAATTGTGTTTTTAAGATAAAAAATGTTTTTTTCAATATATCCGATTTCCAATTATGTGTACCGATTTTTGATAAGCCATGTAAATTTTGGGTATCGATTTTAGTTAGTTTAATTTGTTGGGTTGTGCAGGAAAAATGTGGAATATAGAATGAAGAAAGATAAAAAATTGTAAATAATAATAAATTTTTATACTTAAAGAGCAAATTAAATATTAAATAATTATTGCTTTAGTGAAATTTTGTTAGGCAGAAAAGAGTAAATAAAAAATTTTATAAAGTGCAATGATTTTTGTAGCGAAGTCACATAAATAGCGAAGGACTAACATGGCCCTTTCTAATATAGCTTCAAATTTCTAAGACGGAAGAAATATATAAGTAGAGGAAAGAGTACATTTGATTTTGTATATATAGTGTATATAGAATATAAATATAAGACCGTACTTGCATATTGGGTGTATTTAAGAGTTGGGACCAATATTTTTTTTCTAAATGTAGACCTCATATAATAATGAAACGAATCACATTTTCAATAATAAATAACACAGTGACGTTCATGGTATCTTTCTACCCAATATTTTAAGATTCATTAAAGAAACAAAAAAAATTAGTTAGAATAGTTCAGTGGTGGTACTTATATTTCCGTGTGACAATAATATCAGTTGTCCATGAGGCTGACTAGTAGATAAATCCTTTCGACGTAATGATACAATCTGCAGATAAAATGCCGCAAAAAACTGCCAAATAAGAATTTATAGTATCTTTCTTCCTTTGGCACAATACTAGCAACGCTACATTATGGATTTGTTGAAATAATTTTCTACAATTTTGAGTCTAATATTTCTATATACATATTTTAAGTCTAAAAAAAGGGATTACCTGTTTTTTGGTAAGATTCATTTCAAATTTCAGGTATTTTATATGTTTTTACAAGTAATTGTAGTGGGTAAAGTGAGTGGTAGAAGAAAATAAATAAGTTGTACTTTTGATGAGGGGATCAATCGTTAATGTTGTTCTAAGAACGACGAACACAGTGCAAGATGGGAAGGACGAGGCCCTATGTTCTACGAGGAGAAGAGTACTACAGTAAATAAGTAAGTAAAATCGAACGGAACAGAACAGAACGGGAGAACGATTGATATATTAATGCAATATGCTCTATTGAGATCTAAGCATCGAAAAAAGATTATTGATGGGCATAAATAAATAACATATGAAGAATCTAAGTTGTAAGCAAATGTTATTCTTTGAAGAGACAATATGAAATCTTCTATGTAGAACTAGTGATTAATCCATATAATTTAATTGAAAACTTTTAAGGCAAGTAAATTGCGATAGATTAAATTTAATTTTTGACTGTTTTTAGCTATCAATAATATAGTTTGGTAGATTCTGTTATCTAAATCAACTGTAAATATATGTCTTACTAAAGCTCTTAAAAAACAAAAGATCATTTTTCAACTATTAGATAGTTATTAGGTTGTTAGTTATAAGCTTAACCTATAGTGTTTAAATAAAATCAGTTTCATAGATTCTTGTATCTGAATCGGCTATAAAAATATATTTTCCCTTGGGTTTAGGAAATAATAGGTTCCGTTTTTATCTGCTAGATAGCTGTTAGGTGGTTAGTAATAAGAGCAACTTAGAGCGTTTAGAATGAAATCTTTTTGGTCGTTTATTGTAAAATATATGTGTATGATATATAATATCCCATAGCTGATTTATGTGTTTCACGTTAGAAAATGATAAAAAGCTACAGATAGTTGATATAAAAATGAAAAATATGAATTAAGCAAAAACTTTTTCAATATTTCTACCGA